CGTGTAAAGACGGTTTGCATTCGTTCCTGAAATAACGCTCCAAGAAATGACGATTTGTAACTGATCAGAGCCATTTTTATATAGTGGGAGTTATCCCGGGATCCCAATCAGTCTCATGTCAAGTAGGAATATTACCTAATTTTACTTCTTTATTTTGGCATTTTGTGTGCTTGTAGTATTGTGATCATGGCTGGGACAGCTATTCTCCCGATGGGATTCAAGGCCAGCATGGATATGGACAGAGCGATCAGGAAGCAAACTATTTTGGTAGGGAAGAGAAGGGGTTGTCGCATGATAAGAATGGGGACATCACATGACGCTTTCAATATTGCTGATCCTAGCAGTGTGCAGGACGCGTGTCACATGTGAACTTGGTAAAATGGCCAAGGTCACCTAGTGTCTCTTGCTAGTTCAGTAGTTCGATCGCCCAACCGGTGTCTGGGAGGTCATGGGTTTGATATTCTGTTATAGACTCAGATTTTCTCTTTCTCTTACGCTCGTTACAAATCAACATTTTATGTTTATCAAAGGTATATTTGTAGGAAAAGCAGACCACAAACTACTTACCAATCTATTTGGCCGGTAAAGATTGGTAAGATTCCGGTACTCGAGATACCTATAATTGCATTCTCGTTCATGGGTTAAATTTACTTGCTAAATAACACCATTAAACTTGCAAATATTATTTTTCCCAAAATCTCAATTGTTTTCGATTTGCGGTCTTAAATACGTTGATAAGTCTATCTGTAGAAAAAAAAAAAACTGATTATGAGTTATTCTGGCATAGATTTACAATGGGACGTGCGGCCCAGGTGTCTCCTGCAAGGAGGATTCAATGGGGTCATGTTCAATGAGGTAAAACCAAGGATACGTACATTTATTTCATGGCATACAGCATCATCATCATTACGTCTGGAATCAATTCTTCTCACACCCGGCCCTACAATGAGAAAAATATTGCTATTGTCCCATATGGACTTACAATCCCTCTTTTAGCGCGTTGCTAGCTTCATTGAAATATCCAAAAAAGAGAGAGCAGTTGC